TCTGTGTCTCCCTCTCTGTCTGCCCCTCCCCGACTCACATTCCATCTCTTTCTCTCAAAAATAAACATTAAAAAAGAAATTTTAAAAATGGCTCTAATTCTTGTTACATGCAATGCCCACTAATATTTTGTATCATTTCTTCCTCCACTTGGAAATCACGTTTTCAAAGCTGCTTCAAAGCAGCTTGCTAGGCAAGCAAAGATGGGAAGCTTCATTGTTAACACCTGGATATGAGTGTGTCGCGCCCCGCATCTTCTCACTGATATGCTAGATGAATAAATGAGAGGGATCTACTTTCAGAGAAGCAGAAGAGCCTATTCGAGTTCTTCTGCTAGAATAGGCTCTTCTGCTAAGGAGCAGTTAATTCTTATAATCTCTGTGCACGATTTCCATCGACTCTTCCTCAGTAAGAGGTTGTAATAACATCGAGGGTAGAATGTAAGTCAGATTTTTGTTGTTGTTGTTCATCAGGACAGCACTTGGCATATTGGTGGACACACTGTGGGTGCTTCAAACACACTGACTAGTTGCATTGCACTGAGCTGATGATTCTTCACCATAGCAGCGCAAAGAAGTTTAGCAGGCTGAGAAACAGTAAGTAGCATGCTTCACCTAAGTATTGTGCACGCCCCAGCAGGTGATCAGAATCACCTGGAAAATATCTCCTACTCCTGTGCTCATTGTCTCATCACAGAGAGGAACCCCTGGACTTCCTGCTGCTTAATCTCCAGCAGCCAAACCTCCCAGAGGGTGAAGTCCAAGACTGCCACTGAAGGATGTTTTGCATCCTTCTTTTCTTTCTGCAAAGATCTCTACTGTCTTTATGTCCCTCCCAAAGCTGCCATCTGCTCTCCCTTCTGAGGTCTTCCTACAGGACTGGACCCACATTGGGGTCCAGTAAAGCCCTCCTTTGTACTATGTCTGAAAATGAGGTCTTAAGCCTTTTGGGTTTCAGGACATCACTGCTCAACAGAGAGCAAGCAACAAACCACCAAGCTTGGGTGTCACAAGAACAATTGCCAGAATCTCATGATTTTTTTTAGTGCCTAGAGCAGTCTGTTGGTGACTCCATTCCTTCCTGTGGGTAAATTTCTGCCTTCCTTCCCCCACTGTTCTCCTGATTAGGTGTTCCACTTCTTGCTTGCAGGTCTGAAGGCACAATTAATAGTTGAACAATAAATGAGTGAGTCATCCTCCAAGTGTTGAAGTCTCAATGACCAGAGCATCCCAGAAAAGTGACTATCAGCATTTCCCCTTCTCCACACAGGAAATAAATGACCTCAGCCCTCTCCCTCACAGTTACTCATGTGCTACATCTTCTCAAAAATTGTGGAAGAACTGTCTGGGCTCAGACCTAGTTTGTGGCGATATGACTAAATATACCAAGAAGGTCCGTAACTATGGGATCTGTTATGGTGCCTCCCTCAGGAAATGGTGAAGAAGACTGGAGTAAGCCAGCATGCCAACACACTTGCTCTTATTGTGGCAAAACCAAGATGAAGAGATCAGATATGGGGATCTGGCATTGTGGTTTGGGGATCTGGTTCATGCATGAAAACAACAGCATGAAAAACCACAACAGTGGTCCCTAGACATACACCACCACTTCTGCGGTCACAATCAAGTCAGCCATCAGACGACTGAAGGATTGGAAGACCCATAGAAAGTCTACATATGAAACATTGCTGGCTAGCATATGATAAATGGGATAATTTACATAACAAAATTACTTTGGCTTGTTGTTAAATTTATTAATTAGATATTCTCATTTTTGTTGCATTAATCTTGCTTTCTCAAAAGACTTGGAAATTGAAAATCCTTCTAATTTTTAGTGCAAAAAAATTGTGGAAGAAAACTGAAGTGTGCTGCATAGAACCCTTTACTCACATCTATTCTCTCAGTAAGCATAGACTGGCAATTCCAGTTGCTAGTCTGAAGTCTAAGACATCAGGGCTGTGTTGACTAGTGTTATTCAAATGCCATGATGGGAAATTCTAGGGACAAAAAGGCCTGGCCAAAGAAAGGTTTCCAGTCCCCAGTGGGGAGTTACCTAGCTTCAAGGTAGCATCAACAACGATTAATTCAAGCTGTACATTTCTAGAACCTTATCTTCCTCTGTGGAATTACTCTCAAGACTCCCTGTCAAAACTGGAGGGTTATAAATAAAGCCCATTTACACCTGCTTGGAGTGTTGGAAAACAACTTCCAGAAAAGTGATAACAGTCCTTATCTTTTGGTGGTGGGAACACAATTGGTTCTCCTTTTCATCCTTCTGTTTCTGTGTATATTTGACTTTTTAACCTAAATAAATGAATACTTATAGTATTTGTAATCAGGGGAAAAATCAAAATTATTGTTCAGAAGGAAGTATGTCCCACTGTTCCCATATACTTTGCATATAGTGACATTCTATCGTTTATATTGAAAAGATAATCTTTTTTTTTTTTTTTTGAGAGAGAGAGGGAGAGAGCACATGCTTGTGGGGGAGGGGCGGGGAGAGAGAGAGAGAGAGACCACACCCAGGATGGAGCTCAATGTAGGGCTTGATGTCACAATTATGAGACCATGACCCGAGCCAAAATCAAGAGTCAGATACTTGGGGCGCCTGGGTGGCTCAGTCAGTTAAGCGTCTGACTTTGGCTCAGGTCATGATCTCGCGGTTTGTGGGTTCAAGCCCTACGTCAGGCTCTGTGCTGCCAGCTATCTCAGAGCCTGGAGCCTGCTTCAGATTCTGTGTCTCCCTCTCTCTCTGACCCTCGCCTGCTCATGCTGTCTCTCTCAGAAATAAATAAAACATTTAAAAAAATTTTAAAAAAGAGACACTTAACCAACTGAACCACCCAGGAACCTGAAAAGTTAATCATTTTTTTTTTTTAATTTCTAAAAAGGAACATCTATTAGGGAGACCATAGCCCAGGTTTCGGCAACATACCATCTTGATTTACAATCTTAGCTCCTTGCCTTATCATGCTGGAATGACCTTGCAAAATGTACTTAACTTGTCTGAGTCCGAGTGTCTTTGCCTGTAGAGGGGCATGATATCTCCTTCACAGGAGGATGAGGAGCCATTAAAGTGCCTCTCTGTGTCTAGTATATCATGCAGGCTCGAGAAATATTCGTTTATCTCCTCACCCCAACCTCGAGATCTCAGAAAGCTTCTTCATAGAACAACCAATACACATTTCAAAGAATCTTTAGAAGGAAACTCAGTGTCCATCCAACCCGACTTCTCCAGAGTCCTATCCACAGCTTCCCTGGCCAACAGTCCCTGAGCCCCGGGAGAAGGCAGCCTCCTGCTTCCCTGGGACACAGTGGCCAACTGCATCGCAGGGCAGGTCTCACCGTGATCGTGATGTTACTTTTTATTAAGCTAAAACTTCACCCTCTATAAAATTCTACCTATTCTTAAATGTAACCTCTAGACTCTCTACGAAGAACTAGCAGGCTCCCTGGTCCACCCCCTGGTCCATCTACTACCAGGACCAAGCAAGCCCACTCCATAATGTAGAGCATGGTGTAGGCATGGCAGAGGCCTTCTTTGTTTGTTTTGTTTTGTTTTGTTTTTTATTTATTTTTTTTTTTTACCAATAGTTTATTGTCAAATTAGTTTCCACATAACACTCAGTGCTCATCCCCACAAGTGTCCTCCTCCATGCCCATCCCCCCCTCCCCCCCACATCCATCAGTCCTCAGTTTTTGTCAGCATTCAAGAGTCTCCCATGGTTTGCCTCTCTCCCTTTCCCCCCACCATTTCCCCCTTCTTCTTCCCCTCGTTCCTCCGTCAAGTTCCTCCTAATCCTCCTATACGTGCAAACATATGATATTTGTCCTTCTCTGGGCATGGCAGAGGCCTTCTTAAGTGACATGAAGCAAAGGAGTAACTGAATTGTGCCCCTGGCAGCTGGCAAAATAGCCATCTCACGGCCCCTGACGCTCTCTAAGGGCTCTTCCAACTTTGTCCACTTGGCCTCCATTGACTGATGTATCGGAACCCTTCCTCTCCTCTCCCCAACATCTCCTTTCCCTTTCCCTTACCTTTTGTGAAGGTAGAGATTTTTATTCCTGCATGGAGGATGTGACTGAACAAGCTGATTGGAAAAATTGTTTTTGCTAATTCCATCACATCAGGTGAGAAAGGAGATAGTATCTGATTGGGGCACCTGGGTGGCTCAGTTGGTAAAGTGTCTGACTTTGCTCATGTCATGATCTCACAGTTTGTGAGTTCAAGCCCTGTGTCAGGCTCTGTGCTATGTGGATTGTCTCTCTCCCTCTCTCTCTGCCTTTTTCCCACTCATGTGCTATAAATAAACAAACTCAAAAAAAATCATTCTGATTTTATCCTTTAAAAAATTTCTGTAGGTCCAGGCTCAGTAATACCCATCAAGGCCAACAAACTGTCATTTTCGTATTGAGGATAACAGAAGCTCTTTTGGATAATTCTTTTGCATTCCAGGCTTTTGGTGGAAACAAAAAGATATGCACCGTAGACCATTAAGTACTTGTGAGACATGATTTTAGGATGTAACTCAATTATACAGTGATTATAAAGAGCCTGGGGGAAATATTTCCATATCTGGGTAGCGACATTGACAGATGAAAGGTGCACAAGTTCTAAATGCTGTTTGTTCCAGCCCTGTGTTCGATTGCAACAATGTGAGTGTCCTGCCTGTGCTGGTAGATTATTAACAGAGGTTATTGGTCTCCATGGCAAAATTATTGCTCTGAGCATAATCTCATTTATGGAGTGCAAAAAAAAAAAAAAAAAAGACTTCAGGTCAGGGAGAATGTATAAATGTCCATCGTCATCAAGGGTGTGCTACATCTTAGAAGCAGAGGCACCTCCAAGGACACAGCTCACAGGCTGATTTGGCTCTCAGCTCCCAAATCCGGATTGAACTGGGGACAATTACTAGGACGCTCTGGCCGATACCTTTGAAGAGACCCCGTGAAGGAGGCACTGAAGAGCCCTGTACTGCAGACCTATATTGTGCTTCCCCAATATGTGCACGGGGGACTGCGCCAAGTGCCTGGGGGGCGCCCTCATTCCCCTCGCCTTGTTTGGCTTCCTGGCTAACATCCTGTTATTTTTCCCCGGAGGAAAAGTGATAGACAACAACGACCACCTTTCTGAAGAGGTCTGGTTTTTCGGAGGAATATTAGGAAGCGGGGTCTTGGTGAGTAGGGAAGCCTTAAAATCCCCCCAGAGATTATTGTCGAATCCTTTTAAAATCAGGTACCTTTTGAACAAGGAGATATTTTGTTGCTAACAAAAGCCCAAGCATTGCATGATGAAAAGTCAGTGCCTTGATGTCTTCCCTTCTCCATCAGGACCTGACAAGAGTATGGCCACGAAATTCACTAAGCAATGAATTTCCAAGATTGGGCTGGCAGTTCTCTTCATCAGAGTGAGGGCTGCCTAGTTTCTGTATTCTAACAAGACAGTGCTAGGGGTGGTAGACACACACTTTCTAGCAAATTGATTGACTGAAAACCACCAAGGGAAGCAGATGTCAGGGGATTCTTCTTCCACTCACTCACTAATGATCTATTTACCCCCTGTTTCCAGTAGAGGATGGGAACCTCCAATTTAGAGAGAGAGACAAAGACTAGACTCACTTTTCATAACGATTGAGGACAAGTTTCTTATTGCTAGCCTAACCCACCACCGAGTAAATGGAAACTCGGGGTGTCAGGTCTTAAAATCTTGCCTCCTTGAATGTGCAAGTAGGCATCATGGAACCTAGACACTCAGTAATAATCAGTAATACTCAGTCTACTGCACCAGCCATGCTCTGTAAGTTCTTGCCATACCCGTTAGCCACTGAGTCCCGCATCACGGACACAGCTCCACTCACAGCCAGGCAGGCACAGGCTCCCCCTGCACATGTGAGACCCTGTCTGAGGCACTTCTCTTGCTGGCAGATGATTTTCCCTGCACTGGTGTTCTTGGGGCTGAAGAACAATGACTGCTGCGGGTGCTGTGGCAACGAGAGCTGTGGGAAGCGCTTCGCGGTAAGTTCCCCAGAAGGCAGCCGCCAGAATGAGTCCAAGGTGCACTGTCTTCCTGTGTTTGGTGCGGTGGGGAGGGTGATGAGTCACCAGCCCCATGCAGGGCTCTGGAGGCCACTGGCACATACCTAAATATGGATTTCTTGCTGGTGCAAAATAACAATGATAATACAATTTTAAACACCAAAGCCCTGATACTTACAGGATAGGGGTATCATTTTGACTTTGCAAAGAGGCAGGGATGTCCCAGCTAGAAAACTGAAGTGGGGCCACGTAAAGAATGCAGGCAGATGGGGCGCCTGTGTGGCTCAGTAGGTTAAGCATCCGACTTCAGCTCAGGTCATGATCTCACGGTTCGTGGGTTCGAGCCCTGCATCGGGCTCTATGCTAACAGCTCAGAGCCTGGAGCCTGATTCAGATTCTGTGTCTCCCTCTCTCTCTCTGACCCTCCCCTGCTCATGCTGTCTCTCTCTCTCTCAAAAACAAATAAAATATTAAAAAAAAAAAAAAAAAAAAGAATGCAGGCAGAGGGGTGCCTGCGTGGCTCAGTGGTTTAGGCATCTGACTCCTGGCCTCGGCTCAGGTCACGATCTCACAGTTCATGGGATTG